GGTCCAAGGCTGTTGAATTTGGGGCAAGGAGACCCTGACGAGGTTCACGGACTATAAGATCTTTCCACAAGCATCTTGAAGGGCATGTAGGATATAGGCAGAGTGTCAGCTGCTACCTATCAGCCTGGGAGGTCCTGGACGCATGCCGTTTGTTGGTACAGAAGCGTCATGATGGAGTTGTTGGCTGGCTCTGACTTGTTTCCCTCGAGTGTCGCTGGGTGCCTTGGTTCAGTCTGGTTCTGCCGCATCTCCAAGGAGAGGAGCATCTTTTCTTCTTCTGTTGCTGCTGCTGCTGCTCCTCCTCCTCAGCCTCCTCCTCCCCCCTGTGATTGTCGTTGACACAGACTTCCGCTGCCAAAGCTAATTGTGAGGCCTGATCAGTGAATGAAGGCAAAGGCAGTTCCCATGACAACCGCAAAGAGTTTCAAATATAGGGGATGATGTGTGTGTGATGGGCGGCAATTACTTGGGTGGAAATTGATGCGTGGACACCGGGGACTTCAAACATAGGCTCTGAAGGTGGAGGGGGTGTTGGGTTTTTTTTGGCAAGATCCTTTGTGTGATGGAGAGAAAAGGAGGTCACAGACTTCTCTCATAGTCAATTCCAAGTGCCTTCAGTGTGTGGAATGTAGGCATAGCCCTGCAGAGGCTTGGAGAGGCACGACTCCAGTCATTCTGGTTGGGGATGCAGGACACACAGAGACACAAATAACAGTACCAGGAGTCAGATGAGAAATGTTAGAAGTGCTGTCGGTTGGCAGAAGACTGGTATAATCAGAGAAGGCTTCCTGGAGGAAGCAGGGCTTAAACTGAGCTTTGAACTAAAGCCCTGTGAAGAGTGACCTCATTCAGGACACAGCCATGGTGAGGGAGGATGAGAAGCCTGTCTCCCTCTACCCTCTACCAGCTTTAGAAGAGGTAGGTGGATATGAAAATCATAGAACGACACAGAGCAGCCTTGGCTGTGCTGCTGCAAGTGAGGGGGTGGCAAGTACCCTGTCCATTCATTTTCTGGCTGTGTGACCTTGGGGGAGATACTTAGCCTCTCTGTATTCCAATTCTTCATCTGTAAAATGGTCACGAATATTTCCTGTCTCATTGGTTTGTTTAGAGAGTTAAATAAGATGCAGTATATCGCCGGGCGCGGTGGCTCACGCCTGTGATCCCAGCACTTTGGGAGACTGAGGCGGGTGGACTGCTTGAGGTCAGGAGTTCAAGACCAACCTGTCCAACATGGTAAAACCCCGTCTCTCTCTCTCTCTCTTTTTTTTTTTTAAATAAAGATGCAATATGACATGTTCTAGGTGTGAGGCTTGACATGGGGTGGGTGCTTGGTTGATTTCTGGTAAATGTCCCCAAGGACCTGTCTGGTTGTGTCTGCACTCTTTGGTCTTTGAATATCTGTGTGGAATCCAGCCTGTGGGTATCCATGTTCCTGAGGTTCTCAATGTTAGGGCATTTTATGTGTCTTGGAAGTGAGTGAATCCATTCATCTCTCCACTGGGGAGGTCTGTGGCCCCATTCTTCCTGCTGGGAGCACAGTAGGGTCTGGGGGTTGTCGTGGAAGGTGGGGAGGGGAGGGACCGTTGGCCCCATGCAGAGGGGTTCCAAGTATCTGCAAATGGTCACTGTGAAGTGCAAAGTTTAGAAAAGGGGACAGGTAGAGATAGGAGGAGGATCAAGAGGGGAGTGGAGAGTGTACCAGCTGGAGGCAGAGTGGTCTGGCATGCACCTCTGTGACTCCCTTGAGCCCCCGGCATTCCACGAGCCTCAGAAGAGGGAATGGGGCCAGGGTGAGATGGGGTTGGGAGCAGGTGGACTGCCTGGGGAACTATGGGCTCCTCCTCTGGTGTAGCCAAGGGCTGCTGGAGAGCAGGGTGGGACATGTGTTTGGGGTAGGGCTGAATTACCATGGGGAGATGAGTGGAGCCAGGAGTTGGGGTGGGAACTTGGCTCTGTGGCTCCTTCAGGCTGCTGAGGAAGATAGGTGCTGATTGAGCAAGTCTGGGAGATCACAGTTCAGTTCTGGCAGGTCCTGCACTCCCAGGACAGCGGGTGTCCCTCAGATCCTTGAAGACCTCAGGGAGAAGGGTGACTAGGAGAGGGGACTCCCCATCTCGGTGCCCAGCCCCCTGCCTCTCCACCCGCCTTGTGTAGAAACTTGGCTCAGCACATTCCAGCTCTGTGCAGAGCCTAGGAAAGTAGGGAAGACAGGGCCCCCGCCCATGTGGGAGGACTGCCGTATAAATAAATAACGGCGCCTCACCGTGACCGGTGCCCTGGACGAGGCAGTACATTGCTCTATCAGGACCCAGGAGGAGCAGATGATGCTCATGGGAGCTTGGTCATCTTGAGAAGCTGGCAATGTTTGGACTGAGCCTTGCACCATATTAGCTTGCCAGGTCGGGGGAGGTGGAGAAGGATCCAGGCAGAAGGAGCAGCACTGGGAAGTCGCTGAGGCATGAAAACATTACTAGATCCAGGACATAAAGGGAAGTGATCAGGTTCAAGTGACCTCGGTCGTCTTTGTATCTCACTGGGGTTGGCAGAGACAGACAGAGCTTAGAGAATTGGAAAGAGAAGAACCTAGTTTTGAATTCCAGCCCACCACTCACCAGCTGTGTTGACAGGCGAGTAAGTTAACATTGCAAAGTCCTTCCGTTGCCGTGTTAGAGGTGAGGTTGTACGTGGAGTAAGTCAAATGAGATGATCCTATAATGTGGTTGGCACAGGGCCTGGCACGTAACAGGGGCTTGATAAACTGTGGCAGCCGCTGCAGCAACTGTGCTAATTGTTACTGTCCAAGCAGTGTTTGTCTCTCCTATCCAGCAGCAGACTGTCGGGTGGGTGGGAAGGCAGGAGTTTTGGGGACCATGATAAAGGAGGGACCCCACTTGGCCTGGTCATTGTCAAAGTTGAGGGGCACAGAAACCCATTGTTCGACCTGAGCCATGCTTAGGACACTGTTTCTTGCCATGCTTTGCCACCTGCCTTCCTCCCCGCCCTGGGAGGAGCCCAGGAGGGCTGCCCTTTGTTCCCAGGGGGAGGCAGGTGTGGGCCCTGATGCCTCCTGGAGTCTCCTCACTGGATGGCTAGCTTGCTGTCTCTCCGAAGGCAGCTCATCCTGTTTTGAGTACCCACTTTGGGCCCCCAGGGAGGGGACAACAAGCATCTGTGGTGGAGTGGGTAGGAGAGCGAATCACTGGGTCAGGGGCTGTCACATATCCTAATGAATCCTGTGAGTCACTTCCCCCTGACCTCAGCTTATTCATCTGTGAGAATGAGAAGGAGCACCCAGTGAGCTCTTCTAGAAATTGATTCACCTGCAGTAAATACTCAAAACTGAATGTGGTAGCTGCTATTTGTAGTTCAGTTTTATAGATGAGCAAAGAGAGGCTACGAGAGGTAAGTTACAACCAGCCAGGTGGTGGTAGAGCCTGGAGTTTGTGGCTACCAAAGTGTGGAAGTCACCTTCCTGGGAGGCAGAAGCTCGGGGGTGTTCAGCTACAGGGAGGGATTGAGGTCGAGAACAATGTGCCCCGGGCAGCCCGGGAAGTAAATCCAGGAGTAGATTACAGGGCCCTCCTCTCCCCACTCTGTTCTTTATCATCTGGCCCCACTTTCAGCCTCCTGGTGCACCTTTCAAAGTCTGTCTGGAAACTGGAAGGCCAGAGATCTTGGGGTCTCGGCTACCTTCCCTCCTCTTTCTTTCTCGGAGATGGGAAGCCCTGAGGTCTGGGGGCCCTTGGGGTCTTGGGGGGTACCTCCTGTAGCCTCTCCAGGAGTGGAGAACCCATCGTGGGGTGGGGGGGGGAGGCTGTCTTGGGTGGGTATGTTTTGGCGGGGGTGGGGGGTGACCCTAGAGTGAGGTGTGGTTGTTTGTGTGTGTGGAGGAAGGAAGGGTTGACAGAGGAGGTGTGGGCTCCGAGGAGCCTGTTTTCTGAGGTGGGCGCTGAAGCAGGGAGAGGAGCTGCATAGCTGTTAAAGAGTATGGTCTTCAGAGCCGACAGACCTGGCTCGGAGTCCTGGCTCTGCTGTTTCCTAGCTGCGTCACCTTGGGTAAGTTGTTTCACTTACTGTATCTCCTCATCTGCAGAATGGAGTAAAGGTTCGTGCTGCCTAGGCTTTTTCTTCTTCTTTGAGGATGAAGGGCTGTTGCACCTCATGCCCTTGTCACAGGGCTTGGTGCTGTCCTAGCTGCTGCCAGGACGTTGCTGGGGTTAGAGAGTGGCGGAGCGGGAATCCCCCCAGCGTCTGCTCCGCTGCGCTCCGCTCTGCCCCGCCCGGAGGCGCAGTCTGTCATCTCTGACCCTGGAGGCGCAGAGGACGCCTTCTGGGTATTACCTTCGGGGTCCCCGCGGGAGGAGGCCGGGGGTGCCCTGGGATGCCCCAGCTTGCCGGGGAGCGGCGCGGCGGGCCTGGGAAGCTGCCAGCCCGGCTCAGCAGCACCCTCGGCGGTGCCCCCGCCTCCTGGCTGGGCAGGTCCGCCGGGCGGGGGCAGGGCCGGCCGCGGGGATTGGCTGGCGAGCGCGCCGCCCCCCTCGCACACCAGCCCCACGGAGGGGAGGGGAGCGCAGCCGGCAGCTGGCCGCCGCCTCCTCTGCAGTGCCTCCCTCCGTGCGCTCCCTCCGGCGGGGATAATGGGAGGCCCGCCGGCCGATGCACCAGAGGAGGCCGGCCGAGGTAGAGCGTGCGGGGCCGAGGACAGCCGGGCGGACACAGGCGGGAGGTGGGGGGGGGCAGCGTCCTCCCAGATCTCGGGGGGCTTCTCAGAGGAGAAATGAAAACAAAAACACACTGGAAGGTGAGGGAGTCCGTCTGCCGTGATCTGGGCGGCAGCTGGAGGCAGGAAGATGGTCCCCGATAGCCTTTCTTGCCCCGGCTGCCTCCCCTCCCTCTCGCCTCCTTCCCCTCCGGCGAGGCTGGGGGCTGTAGCAGGAGGACTTTGCTACCTTCCCAGTACCCGCCTGGCTCATGCGTCCCTCTGGCTTCTTTTGCAGGTGGAAATAAAGGCTGGTGAAGGAGCCGGGCCGTGGGGACAAGGAGCGGCTGTCAAGGTACCTTGTGTGTGTGCGTGCGTGTGTGTGCGCCTGTGTGTGGTGGCAGTGAAGTGTTTGACCGGATTGGATAAAAATAAAGGGTCTCCTCTGGTGATCCCTTAATCTCCCACTGTGTGTGTAGCAGCAGCTGAGGGGGAGGGGCGGCGGGGGTGTGGGCGGCCAATGAATTCTCAGGCCTGTGTGGGTTTTGTTTGGATTCTTTTTGCTTTCTCAGCTGGATGGTTTTGGGTGCAGTTGGGGTTTGGGGTTTGGTTTGTTGAACTGTTTTGTTTTTTTAAGACATGCAACCCACTCCCCACCCCTGCCTCTGGAAATCTCTCGAGAATGTCCCTGGCACTGTTGGTTTGCATCCAATCTGCAGAAATCCCGGAGGGGGGGGGGTTGCGGGGGGGGGCGTAAGGGGGAGGGAGAATTGCGCTCCTGAGTCTGAAGCTGATAGGGTGTCATTAGTCATGCTGCTGTCACCATGGTGATGACTGGAGAGGAGAGGAGGTGGTGGGGGTGAGGATATTTTGGGTAGGGTGGGGGCTGATGCAACATCATGACTGGGAATCCGGCGGGCGTCTGCTGTTACTCTGTGTGGCTTGGTGTCTAGGGGACTGGGAAGAGAGTGTTCCCAGGTGCGTGGGAAGCCGAGAAGGGGGCACTGAGCTTCCCCTTGTGGTTGTCTGGGGCGCAGGGAGTGGGGAAGCTTGGGTATTTGGGGCAGGGGAGGGGAGAGTCCAGTGAAATATCAGCCATTACTAGGAAACCACAGATATTCCTCCCAGGTTGGCATGGACCAGATCAGTAGGTTTCCTTGAGCTTGTCCCCTTTTTCAGGGCTGAGGAGCCACCGTGAGTTTGGGATTACTCAGCAGTATCCTCTGCTGGCCCAGGGCAGAGAAAACAGATTGGAAAGGGCTCTGTGTAGCTGCCTCTCAAGTCCAAGAAGGGAGAGGCTGGAAAGGAGTGTGGGGACAGGTGGGCAGGGTCAGGGCTTATGGGACTTCCTAGCAGAGAGGAAGCCTATTTCTGCCCTGCCTCAGCCCACCTGCCCCCTCAACCACAGGAATCTTCAGGGAGCTGGCGATCTTGGTTGCTTGGGTAGCAGGTGGGTGAGCTGCTAGTGTCCCCAGATGCTCTTAGTCTCCTCCCTGGAAATTCTCCCGCCTCCTGGGAAAGCTGTGGGAAGCTCCGTGGAAGTGCTGGAAGTGGCATCCTGCCACCTCACTGACTGGATAGGGATGCTGGCAGGGAGGGGCTCTGCTTCCCACGTGGGAGATAGGGGCTCTGCTTCCCACGTGGGAGACAGGGGCTTCTGGACAAGGCTGCAGGGTGGATCAGGAGGCCTGGATAGTTCCCTGGCTTTGTCCCAAGGAACTTGAGGCAAGGAAGTGCCTGGGGAAGGGTGTGAATTTTGCTTCTGGAGCAGCTCCTGGGAAGGAGGAGCCAGGTGGCATAGGCTTCCCTGTCGAGTAGGTGTGTTTTGGTGAGACTGGGAGTAGTGGGTGATCACCTGGGATGAGGCGGTGGGAGACTCGGAGGCAACAGAGGGCAATTGGTACAGCTGATACTGTGAGTAGGGAGGAGAGAGCTGAGCTCATCTCATGCTGGCTCTCACTACATATTCTTCCACGCTCTTCTCCAGAGCAGAACCCCCAGGTTTCACCTCCGCTTCCTCCCCTGGCCTCCCGCTGCTGGCTGGAGGAGTTGTAATCACCTCGTGTGCTGTTGCACGGGTGTGGGCACAGAGATCATGGAATAGACCTGCTCTGTCTCCCAGCCTGGGGAAAGCAGGCCAAGGGGATGAGGACAGATGGACTCAGGGAGGGGGCAGCCCCCTCCCTTCTCTGTATCTCCAGCCTTGTCAGCCTAGAGCTTCCCTCTGTTGCTGGGAAAAAGGACAGGCTGGCAGGTTTGTTTACTCCCAAAAGCACCCCCTCCCGCTCTAGTGATGGCTCCCTGGCAGACCCGCTTCTCCTCAGCTCTTTCCAAGTGTGTTCTCTGTGTCTCCCTGCCCGCATTCAGCTGGCTCCAGACGGAGGCTGGTTTTCCGCAGTCCTGCTGGAGGCTCCCAGCCTAATACCCCAGCCCTTAGTGTTGTGGACATGTGGCAGGGGCTACTTGAAAATCTGGAGGAAGCCCTCCTAACAAGTCTTCCCTCTTCTGCCTTTTCAGAGTAGGGCCTGAGCCGGCTGAGTTTTTAAAACTCTGAGATTGTATCTATGCTTGTTTTTATTGTTCAGTTGTCTGAGAAATAATATGCGGCTTGGGCACTGCCAGCAAACACTCGCTTCTAAGTCTTCTGTCCCTGGTGCCACCTCCCCGCATAGAGTTTCCTTAAGTGGCCAGTTGGCTACAGTGTCCCGCATACCCAGGGTGAGGCAGTTTTGCCAGAGGCTCTTCCATTATCAGGTCGTGATGTAAGAAGGATATGTCCGATTTGTGAGCTTGTTTTGGACTGACACAAGATCAGACCAAGACTCGGGAACACAAGACAAAGGGGAGTGTCACCATCTGTGTTCCCATGAGATGGGTGCTGGTTGAGGAAGCCCCATGGGAGAATGGTATCTAGTAGCCAGTGGGAATAGACACATATACTGTGCGCTGAGTCCTGCCAGGGTTTCAAGAATATCTACGATGTATATATCAGTCTACGTAGTGCCTAGCATAGGCACAGAGTTAAGCTTGATGAATGCAAGTTGATGTTTTATTGTTTGGTGTATTACATGTCCAGCCATGATATCCCAAGGAACGTGCTATAGCAGACACTGTTGCTGCCACCTCCTCCCTGGCAGCCTGGAGAGGAGTGAGTGCCCAGTGCCTAGAACACCGGGCTACCCTGTTTTCAAGGCTCCCACGCGGCTCCCACACTCTGCCCCATGGGAACCCTTGACTGGCTGAGGATGTCTGGAAACTATTTTGGGCTTGTGCCCAGGATCTCTGCCTTGTCTCTCCTTTTGACCACTGCAAAAATGCCCTGTTGTCAAGGATCTGTGATCCTCAACTTTCTATACACTGTGGGTCCTTCCCACTAGTTGTTTCTTGCTTGCTCCTCCCTTCCTGTTTCCCACCCCTTCTCCCTTGGGTATGTTTACAGTCAGCAGCCAGCTTGGGGAGATGTGAAAGCAGGTGAGCATGTCAAGCTAGAGCAGCGAAAGAACTAAGCAAGAGATTTTCAGAGTTGAGTTTGAGGATGGAGAGAAAGAGGGGGCTTTCCTCATCTGTGATAAGAACTGGAGTTGGAGTCTAGAGCTTAGCTACATCTCCTTGGTGACCCTCACCCTTTTTGAATGTCATGGGAGAGGGAGAGAGTCTTGCAAGATATACACATGAGTGAGCTGACGGAAGAGCCCTCCTGTCCACAGTGGTGCAGGGGCCCTGGAGTTGCACTCGGGGACCACTGTGAGGATGACTGCAGCCCTTTAGCTGGGCCTGGTGAGGAGGGGCCTGGGCACTGGGCTCCCTCCAGCTGCAGATGGAGGTTTCTGCTAGAACTGGGCTTTGTGGTCTTGCCAAGTCCCCTCCCATGCCCTGGAGGCTGCAGCAAATGGTTTGGCTAGATGGGGGTGGGGGCAGGGAGTATGGGAGGGGCTATAGTTTGGCTCAGCTTTTGGGTCTCCCAATCCTCTTAAGTCCTCTCTTTCCTACCCTTGACCTCTTGGGCTTTCAGCCTCATTTCCTCTCACACCCGGGCATCTGGCAGTTAGCTGAGGGCTCCCCTCCTTGTTCTCAGCCTCTCCACAGCTTTGGAGAAGGAGCTAGATTAGGAAGCTTTTAGGCAAATAGTAGGCAGGGAAAGCTTGAATGATTAAAATCTGCAGATTATTGTACTATCCAGGACTGTGACCCCCATCCCTATCTAGTTTCTCCCCCTTTCTTCTTCCCTTTGTCTTTCAGCATCCACTAAGCATTTATCGTGTTCTAGGTACAGCATTAGGTCCTGAAAAATAAGATAAATCATTGTTATTTGATTCTCATGAAACTAATTGGAAGTAAAAGACATTGACTAAACTATTAATACCAAAAATTATAACTCTTGAGTGGGAAAGCTAGCACTGGCAGCTTTTGTGTTTTATATATTGAATGCTTTTGACCTCAGCATTGTGTTTGGGGCTGTGAACTTGCACATGGCAGACAGAATCCTCACCGCAGATGCACCCAGCACTTTACATTTGCTTTCTCTCTGGCTCAGAGAACCTCAAGGGACTTTGAAGGAAGAATCAACATGCCAAGTTTGTTTTCAATAAGTCAGTGTTTCCGGGATCTAGCAATGACAGAGGAGGGCAGTGGGGTCAGAAACGGACTAGCTGGGAAGGGAGCTTAGTTTTGAAAGGCACGTGTTGGTGTTAGATGTGTTGGATTGGAGATTCAGAAAGCTGGATGGAAATACTGTGCCTGAGCAATCTACCATGAACCTGAAATTGCCTTGGACTCATTAAGAGTGTGGATCCTGCAGCCCTTACTGCTTCAGGGGGCTTCAGTGAGACCCACTGACTGAGAGGAGGAGGGTGAGAAGTGCGATTGTTAGTTTCCTTCCTCCCTGTTTTCTACTCCTACTCTTGAGTTCTGTCATTAGCCATGGGGAGGTCACTTACTGTCTTTGGACTTCAGCTTTCTTTATAAAGTGAGGGGGTTGCCTTCCAAAGTTAATTCTTTCTCAGACTAAATCTGGGGAAGGACCAGTTTTTGTGGTTTGCTTTGTTTTTGCAGTGTTCCCAAAAGATTACAAAACCAAAACGCGGTCCTACCTTGTACAGCGAGTTTGCAGCTCGCTGCATGTGTGGCCCAGCACCATCCAAAGTCAGACGACCCTAGTGATCATGCCCTTGGACGTCATGGTAGCTTTAAATGGCTCTAACGGTTCCTAAAGGCTTCCTCTTGGTTCTTGCATGTATGTGGCGGTGGATTGGTGTTAAGCAGTTGACGGGCCATATCTTGAATAGCACTGCTTTTGAACTTTTTTCTGGGAGAGCTGAGGGTCTCTGTTTTGATGCCTGCCCACCCTTTCTCGAC